TGTCTACATTATCGATTGAATGACTAACTTGTTTATTATTTCTCAAAACAATTATCTTCTCTTAGCACTCGAATTTTCACTTTGTTATACTTTACATCGAAACCACTCTACCTCCTGCATGGCAATGTGACAACCACTGGTGTCCAGAGACTCTGCTATCCTCAGATAAACGTATTCACTCAAATTAAGAAATGTGCAGATCCATATATCTGTTTCAGTTTGGAAAAGACAGGAGGCTTGATGGTCTGTGTTAGTCCTGCCTGATAAGTCTCATCGATTGAACGCTATACTAGTTTCCTAAGCTATTCTGGTACCCTGAAAGCTAGAACTGCACAGCGACTTGAACACCAGAGAGAAGACGCAAGTATGAGGAATAATGCTTTACTCCGAGGTTCCTTTTATTATATTATTATATTATTATATATTATATATTATATTATATTATATTATATTATATATTATATTATTATAATATATCTAAATGTCCTTGGGTCGCCAGAATATTCTGGAACGCTAATAAACATAGTAGCACTGTAGTAGCCAACCAATCAGAGCTTCCACATGTGACGTTTCGCGACCTTGATATTTCTGGCCAAGACTCCAAATGAACGCTGATTGAACGAAACACTTCTTAATGTTTCTTGATGCTTGCTTGTCTTTTGCAAGCGGTTTCTGGATCACCCCAACACTGCCAATGATGATCTCTTAGTTGATCCAACTTTCTTTTGAAAGAGTCGACGTATGGGTTCTCAACTACGTGCTGAGGTAATGAATTCCACCTGTTGATGGTTCGATGTGAAAGTCGATAGTCAACTGACAAGTAATTTGTTCTGGGCTCGTGAACTTTCATGGAGTGTCCTCGTAAATTCTCTGTTTTGGAAGGCAAGAAAAATGAGGGCATACCAGGTTCAAATTGAACAGTAAGCCATCTTTAAATTGTAGTCAAGTCGCCTTTAGTTCTTTGATAAGACAACGGGAAAAGGTTCAGCTTGGCCAGTTGAGCATCATACGGGAGCTTCACTATTCCGGGAATAAGCTTAGTTGCTGTTCTCTGAACCTTCTCCAAAGTCTCTTTGTCCTTTTTTAAGCAGGAGCTAGCCACTTGTGTGCAATACTCAAGTTTAGGACGTACAAACACTGTATACAAAGTCTAAAACGTCTTAGCGTCGAGATGACTAAAAGCCCTACCTATTGACTACAACGTTCTAAAACCTTTGGCGGCTATTGCACGGCAGTGTGCAGTAGTCTTTAAGTCTTGGCTAACGATGACTCCTAAGTCATTATATGTCTGGATGACAGGTAGCTCAGTGTTATTCATCGTGTATGTATCTGTACCCTTATGACCGATATGCATCACAATACACTTGGAAGTATTTATCGGCAACTGTCAGGTTTGAGACCATTCAGATAATTTATCCAGGTAATTTTGGAGTTCTAAGCTATCACCCTTACTTCGTATCGCTCTCCATATCTTGACATCGTCAGTATATAGCAAGACTAATGATGATAATAGATGAGGAAGGTCATTTACATACAGGAAGGATAACACTGGCCCCAAAACTGTTTCCTGGGGAACTCCACTAGGTACTTTGTGTTTTTCATGCCTTTAGGTAACCCTCGTGCTATTGATGAAAGAAACCAGACAAGTAATGAATAGGTTTTTATTTAGAATTTACTCAGTTACAGGGGAGTGTGAAATTATTTGTTTAGACACACAAAGCCTCTCAACATTCAATATAAGATAATCGGAAACATAACGCCTATACAAAATAAGCAAGTGAATGAATACTTGGACTATACTGTTTTGACATATGTTTAGTTGTATGAAGTGAACTCTTAACCAACCAACCTAAGCTGTTACAAGTTCACCCAAACTCTTTGTTGGCGCCCAACTAGGAAGTCTTTTATCCACATCAATAGATTGCCTTAACTTATAAAACGGTCGGTTATACAGAACTTTGTCGAAAGCTTTGCTGAAGCTAATGAAGGCTACGTCTGCAGGTAACGTTTGGTCCTTAAGAGTGCACCAGCTTTCAAGAGCCTACAACAAGTTATTGAGACAGGAAAAACCTATTCTAAAACCATGCTTCTCCGAAAGGATCCGGTGTTCATCGAGATACTAAGACAACTCCTTCCGAATAATCTTTTCCAAGATTTTAACAACCACACTAGTTAAGCTAACAGGTCGATAATTTTCAGGTTTATATTTCGTACCTGTTTTGAAGACAGGACTTACTATGGCGTTCTTCCAGTCTTTTGGTAAACGACCCTGGGTTACGGATATATTAAAGCGTATAGTTATAGTGTCGGCTGCAAAGTTGGCTGGTTCCTTCAATGACCTAGGGTGCAGTTCATTGGGTCCCGTGAATTTGTCTGTGTCAAGGTTATTTAGCAGATCACGCTGTCCAACGTGTGTATGGGAGATTTGTATGGACTGACGTGAAGAGCTTTTCTATGGTAGATGCATTGCCAAAGTAGTCTGAGAATACTTGAGCTTTACCAGAGTCGTCCTTCACCCCATAGTGCCGGAACATTTCCTTTCCTTTTTGTCTTTTGGTTTATATACAAATACAAGCGTTTAGGACATTCTATGGATCTCTTGGCAATTTTCTCTTCGTACGGCCCTCTAGACTTACGGAGGGTTGAAGCACGGGTATTACGAGCTTTTTGATACTGAGATTTCGCCTCATCAGTTTCCAGTAACCTGAATCTATCCCACATTCTTCTCTTACGGAGAAGGGTACAAACCTAACTACTGAACCGTAGTGGAGGGGTTCTCGGCCCTCTTGGTATAGTTCAGTAACGTTTGAGTATGAATTTCGAAAAACGTCTGAAGTCCTTTAAATTAGGGACTTTGGCTCTATTGTCCAATCTACTAACGATGCTGAGTGTATAATATCTTGTATATTTGCTTTCCAGATGTTAGGTTTGGATTGATCCGACGCATGCTTGTGATTGACAATTATATGGAGGTCAAAGGTGGGAACCGCATGATCACTTTTACCTAGACGTGGCATGTAATGGAGGTTCGTAATGGGTCAATATAATATCTAGTGAGGATGATTCAGAGTCCGGGTCGTACCTAATCGCTTCTTTCATATGCTGCACCAGGGCACATGTGATAACTGCATCAGATGGTTCCTACTTGAAGAAATTATCTGACAACTCAGTTCTCAGATTTCTCCAGTCTACAATGGGTACGTTAAAGTCTCCTAGGATTAGACATCGACCACTTTGTGACCAAGTATTGAGACTGTTTAGCAAGACCCCATTTACCTCAGAGCTTGGACCGCGGTAGACCAAACCAATCGGAAGCTTTTGTCCATTGCATTTCAAGCGGCAACTAACTAATTCATACGTCCCGCTCTCATGGGATACACTGTCGATAACGGCACATGGAATAGCATTCTTAATGAATGACTGCAATTAGTGCAGTCGAGTGGCTAGATACCTCTTGTTAAGCAACACCAAACGTCTTAACTGCACCATAATAACAAGGAAATAGCTTAAAGAAATCGATCGGTATATGCGATTTCATGACAAAGATATTAACCCCTGTTATATATTGGGGATTGAACTTTAAGGCAAAAGCGCCTAGATATCGTTGGCGTTACATTAAAGGTGGGTGTGACTGACCGTCCTAGTGCGTCCTATTGCCTGTAAATGGTAACCCTTTTTTACAGATGTTCATGCACATCGCCGTTTATCATTTTTAATTCTAAACATTTATAAGTACTCCGGTAGTTTTCAAGTCTACTGACTGACCTTGTTTTGAAGCTGTGTAAAATGGCACTCGTGTTTAGTACTATATAAAGTTTACACTAGTTAGGAGATCTGCGAAATATTGTTTGGATTTAACCAATCTGTCTAAATGTCTTAATCTGTCAAGTAATCTTCAAATTCAGCCATCTGTGCAAGTGGTTGTTTCTACGTAATATTTGCTGATTAGGGTTAAAATTACTTTTCGAGCTCACTTTTCCGGTCTGAACTTTAGGTGGAGTCTCGTCTAACAGGAGCGTACTCTTGCTTAAAGGGAAATTACGTGCTCTGTCTTTAATTTTCCTCTTGTTAATTTTCATTTTCTAGATAACATATAAAGTGTTGGCGAAACTAATTTATGGACGAACCAATCAGATTTAAGACAACAGGTCTTGTATTTTTGTGCGTAATTCTATCAACCATGTGGCCAAATAGCGTTTCGTCATTTTAGCTAGTATCAATTCGTGATTGAAACTCTATCTAATTTCTAACTCTAACCATCAATTGTAAATCATAATCTTTATTTTTCACACTGTAAACTCTTCCTACATGTTTATAACTTATTTTCAAGGCCACTTTAACACCACTCAAAAGCCGTCCATAAAACATAGCATCACCAAGATATTTATTCAAATTATAGTAAATTGTGCAAATAATATGCATCCTATCATATTGTAGTTCCAAGTATATTTACCGTAACGGCAAAGTGAAATAGTCTCCTGTTTAACATTAATTAACTTGTGAGTAAGTACGAGGTTTAACAGTGAGTGGTTATGTGGGCATAGCGGAAGCTGTTGCACGAAAGCATATAATGTTAGGATAAAAGTCGCTACTGTGTTGTTCTTCTGGACTACATTTTTTCAATATATAATTTATAGACGAACCAATGTAATTTGAGATATCGAGTCTTGGATTTCGGCTCAAGGTTCAATAATCTATATTGTTAAATAGCATTTTGTCATTATAAACGATGTCAGTTCGTAATGAAAACCCTAACTAATTACTGACCCCATTTGATCTAACTGAATCCTAGTCCTGTTTCCTTACAATGGTACGTAGCCTTTTTTGACCTCTGTAGGTAGCCGAATATCCTCAGGGTCACTCAAGCATTTCTCAAAGGTCGTCCATAAATTATATTCTGTTTACAACAGAATTGCTCCACTACATTGCTTCAATTCACGTTTGTCTTCTTTCAAAAGGTTTTCAGTCCTGTTTGAGAGATCCTTATCTCTTTTTGTACAATGTCCGAGTCTTTACCAAATGTTGAAGATTTGCACAAATTGAAGGTATAAATGTAGTTTGTGTATACTTATTCCGATTAATAATTTAGTTAAGCGACCTGAAAAAAATATGTAAAGAAAACAAACTTCCATCTACAGGAACAAAAGTCGAACTCATCTCACGTATTACGGAAATGCACGGTAAATTTATCATATTCATTTCTTATGTGTGTATATTTAGTTCATATTCTGTGTCTTCATACAACCTCAGTTGTCACAGATTTTTTACTTGATGTCGTGTATCTATAATAGTTTCGATATCCTGGCAGGATATCTGCAGGCAAACTCAAATGACTTATTTTCGCCATCTCACTTTGCGTGCAATGCTGCATCGTATGTAGATTGGTCTAGAGAAATTCAAGAATTGTTCTAGCAAGACGTCATTTGTAGTAGTACAAACCTATGGAATAAGTTAGTATGAAAACAAGGTGAACAAACTCATTCACTAGGTGCCTGGGTATGAGCTACACTACAGGTGTGCGGGCTAATGATATTACTTAATTGCTCAGCCCCCAAATACCCTGGTACGGTCGAGAGTGGGGAGAGTCCGCTCTACCTCTCGAAATGCTCTCACATGGCCACGCGTATATAGCCTCTGCCAGGGAAGTCCTACTCACTGCCTTCTCGTGGCGGGGGTGTTGTTTACGAAATTGAGAGGACAAAAAGCGAATGTCCGGCGCTTTAACCAGGTTGGTGGACACGAAGAGTCCACCTAAGGGAGTTGGAAAACCTTCATTTCAAACCAATGGTGCACATAGGCTCGGGTATCCCGAAGCAACAAATGATGTATGAACCAATCGTTGGTCACCGGCTACCATGGGACTACATCTCCTCACGTTGCTCCACTACCTTGTGGATCAGACATTTAGGTCGAAGGCTCTAGGTGTGGCTCTTTAAGGCAACCACCTGATTCGGTCTGGGCACCCGGGCAGTATCACAGTCCTCAGACAAATCAAATGAGATATGTGTGGCGCATATGTATTTGGTACCTCCTTGTACCAATATCTATGTGTTAAAATAAATAAATAATAATTGCTCAAATCGAAGTGGATAAAGTGGAGTTCGAAATTGGCACTTAGTGATCGACTACAAGACTTAATCCAATCGATACTAGTTCTTCTGATTAATTGGTGACTAATAGCGCATAAGGAAACGTACATTCACAGTTACTGACTCTAGAATGGTTAAAGTTTCAACAATTTAAGATCAGCGTTAGCGGAATATATATTGGATTAAATCGCGTTCCGTGCAGGATTGTGTTGGTGCACGTTGTTCGTCTAGTTCTTATCTAACCAGCGCTAGTGAACACTTGGAATAGACTCTAGAATCTCATATAGAAACTATGAATGTACTAACATTTTTCTTATCGTGCTTCCTACTTCCATCTACCCTTGTTATTTGGAATATAAATTTCGCTCCTGCTCAATCGTGTTCTGGTTTGGGGGCTTGTCAAGTGAATTAGTGCCCAAGAATACTAAGCAATAGGAATAGTTGTGTCGTTATAAGAGAAATTATAACAATCAGAAATACGGAAGAGGTATTTACCGAAGTGAGAAACGAAAAATGAAAGGTCCTACTAATTAGGACGGATAACTAACGATAAAAATAAAAATGTAACTTAAAAAGAATAAATTACACCAGTATGAAATAAAACTATGCTCAATATTTGGAATAAGATATAGAGTGGTTTAATGTTCGTCATATGAGGTAGATGGGACATGTGTTATGCATATTCAACCACTTTCTACCTCAACAAGAAATGTTTGATGTATGAAAGGATTAAAGGAAACGTAAGGGTGACCAGTGCAATGCGTAACATTAGTCCATGAGGTCATTGACTATTGAACTCGGCTGTGTAGGTAGGTACAGACCCGTTAGTCGAAGTCTACGTGATTGCAGTGAGAAATGATTGGAAATGTTTGACGTAGTTTAAAAGCGTTCGCAATAACGAAAATACACTCATTCTTACTCTCTCCTTAGATCCTAAGTTTCCACATCATTCCCAACGACTTTTCCTTCCACGTATCCATAATTTTTTTGTCGAATCATATCTTCTGTGTCTAATGTTTCCTAATACTTCTGATTTTGTTTCTACATACATCTCTCTGCGATGTGATGTAGAGACTTAAACCCATCCATATATGTTCCAGATTTTATATTGCGTGTGACCAACTGGCTGACTACACCTACACAACTGAGACCAGTTTCATATCATACCAGTAAATCTCTCTAGTCAGCGGTTAGAATAATCCTCCAGATTTCAATCACTAAGTCTATACCCGCCTCTTCATCGCTTAGACCACTGGTCATTGCCTTTATAAACTCGTGCTTTTTATTTGGACGTTCTTAGCTTCCTGTCAACCTACTCCTAGGTTAGTTATCATCTTTAATCCAATGATTTTCACTTAAGAGGGATTCTGTAAAAAAAGGCGATTTAAAATAATTGTTTATCCAACGCTCTTAATCTGTTTTTTCTAGCTGTATGTTCTAAGCCTAATCTTGGCATGTACACTAATTGTCAAATATTCAGCTAAATATTTTTATACTATCCTACGTAAGCTGTATTTTAACGCACTAGCACTATACAATCTATTTATTTCTGCTTTCCCGATTAAAGTAACCTTGAAACTTTGTCCATTATTGTATATAACACGTATTCAAGTATAATTAACATAACACACACTTACATTGTCATATACTTCTGTGATTTTCTAAGTAACAGGTTTTCCTAAATACGCTACAGATAAGTCACGGATTCAAAAATGTACACCCACTTTAGTTCAGTTGTGTAGCATCACAAGCCATCAAAACAACAATGTATGGCTCCAAGTTCAATACCTTAATACTATAATTAGTAACTAATTTACTTGACTAAGATGAGTACACATTTATTTTCGTGGAGATTTGTTCTCTGAGCTGGATGGTTTGGTCGTGGAGCTTTCATCGTTCTTCCGAACGACACCATCAGCACAAACTTCAGATAGAAGTGAAATGTTCGCATTTCTCCATATGTGTTTCACAGCTTGTTCTGTGCACCTCGATGTTGATTGGTTCTTATTGACGTTAAATTTGTCATTGTTTACTTCTTTGTTTTGGTTGTGTCTCCCATTGGTTTGATTTTTGTTCCTATATTCGTGCATGATTTTCCTGATTGGTTGGTAAATTGGATTGATTTCAATATGCTTGTTGATTGCTGATTGACCTGAGTGCCAGGCTTCTAAAAATTCTCTCGTGTTTTTGGAGTTTCCGCTGTCTAAGATTTCCATATTTTTCCAATCGAGTGAGTGTCCGCAGTTATCCACGTGTATTGATATAAGTGAGGAGATATCATGGCGTTTGACTGCTAATTGATGTTCATGTAGGCGATGGTGAAGGGGGCGTCCTCTTTGTCTGATGTAGTGTTTTTCGCAGTTGGCACAATTTATTTTGTAGATGATGTTTGATTTGTTTTCCTTTGTTATTTCATCCGTTGGTTTGCATAGGATTGATTGTAGTGATTTTGTAGGTTTGTGTGCCACACCTTATCCCGAAGGTTTTCAGCAATCTCGTTGCAGTTTCTGATATCCCTTGTATGTATGGTAGGGTGATCCTTTTGTTGATTTCTCTGCTTGACTTGGGTTTGGATGCTGAGTGCGGTTGGTATTTTTTGATGAAGTTGATTGGGTAACCGTTCTTTTGAAATACGTCCTTCAGGTATTTCTCTCCATTTTTTCGTGCTGCTAGTGTGCTGCAGTGTGTCCTCGCCCTCTTGAACAAAGTGTGTACGCAGTTGATTTTGTGAGCTCTTGGGTTGTTGCTATTGTAGTTGAGGATTTGATCTGTATGGGTCGGTTTCCTATATACTTGAGTTTCCAGTTTTCCTGTGTCGGTTCTAGTGATCAATATATCCAAGAATGATAGTTTGTTGTTCGACTCCTGTTCCATCGTGAACTTGATGTAATCGAAAACGTTGTTGATCAGTTTGTAAGTGTTTTCCAGCTCATTCCTTTTGACGATGACGAAAATGTCGTCTACATAGCGAATCCAAATTTTTGGCTTGATCACTGGTAGTATCGCGGCTTCTAGTCTTTGCATCACTGCCTCTGCGATCAGTCCTGATATTGGTGATCGCATTGGTGTCCCTTTCGTTTGTTCGTAGATCTTGTTGTTGAATTGGAAATATGTTGTTAGGCATAAATCTATGAGTTCCAGTAGACTTTCAATTTGAAGCTTTGTGTATTTAGTGAGATTTGTGTCGTTGTTGAGCAGCGGGTATATAGTTTCTTTTGCTAATTTTGGTTCAATTGAGGTGAATAGTGATGTTAGGTCGAAGGTTATCATCAGTTCGTCGTTGTTGATTTGAATGTCCTTAATTTGGTCCAGGAATTGTGTGGGGGACTTGATGGAATGGTTGGCTGAATCTACGAAACGTCTCAGTATTCGTGAGATTTCTTTTGACAGATTGTACGTTGGCGTTCCGGGGAGTGCTACAATTGGACGTAGTGGAATGTTTGGTTTGTGTATTTTGGGTCTGCCGTAGAATCGAGGGAGTACTGGTCCATTGCATTTCATTCTCCATTGGTCTTGTTTTGTTATTTCTCCTGCTTTGACTAGCTTGTTTAAAGTCTTTGAGATCTGGTTGTCTATTTTTTGACGGGATTTGTATCCATCAGTTTGTATGTGCTCTTATCTTCAAGTAGTTCTTCGACTTTTTTGACGTATTCTTCTTTGTCCATGACTACTGTGGTGCGTCCTTTGTCCGCTGATATTATGACAATATCCTTTCTATTTCTGAGTTCCTTCAAAGCCTTTTGTTCTTGTGGAGTCAGTTGGTTGTTTTCCTTCACCTGTTGAGTTATCGGTACTATAGTTTGTCTTATTTCCTGTTGTGTTTCTTTACTGATTCCTGAAGTTTTGAGTGATGACTCTAGTGCTGCGAAGAATTCCAACTTCAAGGCGTCGCTTGTATTGTAGTTTAATCCTTTTTGGAGTAGGTGTTCTTCCGTATTTGTTAGTGGTTGTTTTGACAAATTGATCACGCAGTTGTTTGTGTTTTCTTCCATGGGTGGTTTTGAGATCTTGATTAGTTTTTTCTTTAAGGTGTTTCTTCTTTGTTCTCTGTGTCGTTTGCATGATATCTCGATGGCTGTTGTCAAGATTTCCCAATGTTCTGACGTGAGTGTCCTTTGTAGCTTCATCTTTTGGTCCTCTATGACGTGTTGGTATTTGCGGATCCTGTAGTGTGCATTCGTTACAACTAGATGTACCATTTTTCTTTTACTTTGCTTACCTATTTTCCATCCTAATGGGCAGTTGATTGGAGGTCTACATTGTACACTTGTTGGTAGAACGTGCTGGCGAAGACACTCATGGAGAAATCGTTCAGAAGAACGATGAAAGCTCCACGACCAAACCACCCAACTTGGAGAACAAAACTCCACCAAAATCATCCACCTGAACTACAAATCTTCACCATCTCAAAATCATATGAGCGTAATACGATTCTCATTGTTCGAAAATGGGAGAATTTCGCGAAAAGGCAGGCTTCCGCTCGAGATTAACTATATATATTTTCTGCCAACAAGTGTAAAATGTAGACCTCCAATCAACTGCCCATTAGGATGGAAAATAGGTAAGCAAAGTAAAAGAAAAATGGTACATCTAGTTGTAACGAATGCACACTACAGGATCCGCAAATACCAACACGTCATAGAGGACCAAAAGATGAAGCTACAAAGGACACTCACGTCAGAACATTGGGAAATCTTGACAACAGCCATCGAGATATCATGCAAACGACACAGAGAACAAAGAAGAAACACCTTAAAGAAAAAACTAATCAAGATCTCAAAACCACCCATGGAAGAAAACACAAACAACTGCGTGATCAATTTGTCAAAACAACCACTAACAAATACGGAAGAACACCTACTCCAAAAAGGATTAAACTACAATACAAGCGACGCCTTGAAGTTGGAATTCTTCGCAGCACTAGAGTCATCACTCAAAACTTCAGGAATCAGTGAAGAAACACAACAGGAAATAAGACAAACTATAGTACCGATAACTCAACAGGTGAAGGAAAACAACCAACTGACTCCACAAGAACAAAAGGCTTTGAAGGAACTCAGAAATAGAAAGGATATTGTCATAATATCAGCGGACAAAGGACGCACCACAGTAGTCATGGACAAAGAAGAATACGTCAAAAAAGTCGAAGAACTACTTGAAGATAAGAGCACATACAAACTGATGGATACAAATCCCGTCAAAAAATAGACAACCAGATCTCAAAGACTTTAAACAAGCTAGTCAAAGCAGGAGAAATAACAAAACAAGACCAATGGAGAATGAAATGCAATGGACCAGTACTCCCTCGATTCTACGGCAGACCCAAAATACACAAACCAAACATTCCACTACGTCCAATTGTAGCACTCCCCGGAACGCCAACGTACAATCTGTCAAAAGAAATCTCACGAATACTGAGACGTTTCGTAGATTCAGCCAACCATTCCATCAAGTCCCCCACACAATTCCTGGACCAAATTAAGGACATTCAAATCAACAACGACGAACTGATGATAACCTTCGACCTAACATCACTATTCACCTCAATTGAACCAAAATTAGCAAAAGAAACTATATACCCGCTGCTCAACAACGACACAAATCTCACTAAATACACAAAGCTTCAAATTGAAAGTCTACTGGAACTCATAGATTTATGCCTAACAACATATTTCCAATTCAACAACAAGATCTACGAACAAACGAAAGGGACACCAATGCGATCACCAATATCAGGACTGATCGCAGAGGCAGTGATGCAAAGACTAGAAGCCGCAATACTACCAGTGATCAAGCCAAAAATTTGGATTCGCTATGTAGACGACATTTTCGTCATCGTCAAAAGGAATGAGCTGGAAAACACTTACAAACTGATCAACAACGTTTTCGATTACATCAAGTTCACGATGGAACAGGAGTCGAACAACAAACTATCATTCTTGGATATATTGATCACTAGAACCGACACAGGAAAACTGGAAACTCAAGTATATAGGAAACCGACCCATACAGATCAAATCCTCAACTACAATAGCAACAACCCAAGAGCTCACAAAATCAACTGCGTACACACTTTGTTCAAGAGGGCGAGGACACACTGCAGCACACTAGCAGCACGAAAAAATGGAGAGAAATACCTGAAGGACGTATTTCAAAAGAACGGTTACCCAATCAACTTCATCAAAAAATACCAACCGCACTCAGCATCCAAACCCAAGTCAAGCAGAGAAATCAACAAAAGGATCACCCTACCATACATACAAGGGATATCAGAAACCGCAACGAGATTGCTGAAAACCTTCGGGATAAGGTGTGGCACACAAACCTACAAAATCACTACAATCAATCCTATGCAAACCAACGGATGAAATAACAAAGGAAAACAAATCAAACATCATCTACAAAATAAATTGTGCCAACTGCGAAAAACACTACATCAGACAAAGAGGACGCCCCCTTCACCATCGCCTACATGAACATCAATTAGCAGTCAAACGCCATGATATCTCCTCACTTATATCAATACACGTGGATAACTGCGGACACTCACTCGATTGGAAAAATATGGAAATCTTAGACAGCGGAAACTCCAAAAACACGAGAGAATTTTTAGAAGCCTGGCACTCAGGTCAATCAGCAATCAACAAGCATATTGAAATCAATCCAATTTACCAACCAATCAGGAAAATCATGCACGAATATAGGAACAAAAATCAAACCAATGGGAGACACAACCAAAACAAAGAAGTAAACAATGACAAATTTAACGTCAATAAGAACCAATCAACATCGAGGTGCACAGAACAAGCTGTGAAACACATATGGAGAAATGCGAACATTTCACTTCTATCTGAAGTTTGTGCTGATGGTGTCGTTCGGAAGAACGATGAAAGCTCCACGACCAAACCATCCAGCTCAGAGAACAAATCTCCACCGAAATCATCCACCTGAGCTTCGAATCTTCTCCATCGTACACATTTATTATTGTGTGTCAGACTACATTGTTTACGACTAACTGAAACATAAACACTTTTTTTGCGTCAAGTCTTCATTTTAATACTTGTATCTACTCTATCTGTTTTTTTTCAGGAAATAAATTTGTACTGTTACAACCTGGCGATGAAGCAGAACTGCTTGGAGATGATGAAGATGGTGATTCTAACCATGTGAATATATCACTCTCTACGACAACAGCAATGGATTGTAGCAATAGTAATGAATCTCCAAATGGCCTTAACTTCCCAGCTGTAACTGCAAATAAAACTGTCGGACGTAAACGTCCAGCCAGTGAACTGACACCTGAAAAAGATTCAATGACTGGTGGTGAAAAAGTTCTGAAAATTGCACATACAACTGATGATTCACATGATAATGCTAAAGAGGAAATAAAAAATCTATCGGATTCTGAGGTAAAATTTTAACCGATTTAGTGATACGCATATACCATGTATATAAGTTTATGCGCATGATCTCAAGCTATATTCATTATGTTAAGGATTAGTTTTACTAATACTATGATACTCGGTTGACCAAACCGTAGTAGGCAAAGCGATCTGCTACTTGAAAGTCCAGTGTTTCAACCATCATACTCTCACTCCATTGAACTTTATCAGTATGATATTGTTCTTTCCACACAAAATCACTTTCATTACTGCATATTTTAATACTAACTGTGATATACAATGCGTACACTGAGATGGAGATATCTTAAAGATAGAGAATGTTTCGACATTCATTGGTTAAACTTGGATTAATTGACAGGAACTCTTATTCGAGCTAAGTTTCGTGTTAGTATTAACATTCATTAACCAACAAGGGATATCTTCAATTTTTCAAGAATTGACCCTCCAAATGTTACAGTCGAAGCCGGTTACTACTGAACTATGTTTGAACCTTGATTGACCTTCTGTAGAACTGCGACATTCCACTGATTAATCACTTCAGTAATAATAATCATTTTCTTGTTTGTTTATACAGCAGTTGTTGTATTTCGACCCCTTCACTTATCTTGGAAGTCTCATGAGCCCTTGTGGTCTGGTGTGTGACGAAATCTCAGCACGGATACAGAAGGCTCGACTAGCTTTTGCCAACTTGCGTCATTTATGGCGTAGGCGAGATATCAGTCTACCAACCAAAGGACGTGTTCACTGAGCAGCAGTACGTTTGGTCCTACTTTATGGCAGTGAAACATGGCTGGTAAGAGTAGAGGATGTTCGTAGGTTACTAGTATTCAATCATAGGTGTCTTCGAAAAATTGCTCGTATATCGCGGGACCATCGAGTAAGTAACGCAGTTGTTGGGAAACGAGTACTAGGTAAGGATGGCAAATCGATTGATGAAATGGTAAAACTTCATCAGTTGAGATGGCTGGGACACGTGTTACGTATGCCCAACCACTGACTGCCTCGACGTGCGATGTTCAGTGGTATAGGAGTAAGTTGGAAGAAAGGTAGGAGCGACCAGACCAAAACATGGCACAAACCCATGAAGTCATGACAAGTAGACTGAAACATATTTGTAGGTGTAGACTACCTGATTGGGGTCCGCGAGATGATAGCAACCGATGGTTAGAGACCTTGAATGACATTGGCTCAAAATCGTTTGCAATGGCGCAGGTGCATTCACTCTTTGTGTTCTCCGAAATTCTAATCTTCTGAATTCTTCATGTCCCTTTATTTTCTTCCCTTTCCAAATTTATTTCACTGGATTATACTCTCTAAATAACACCTTCAAACCGTAATCTTTCCGATTACTGCTTATGCTTTTATTACCTCTACCACTATGTGATTTGAATCGATAACTCCATCGTTGTGCTAATGTGGTATGGTAACTCAAACTGATGTACGTACGTACAAAGTTCTACGTTCTGACTGACTGCTGTGTAGATTGCCTCGATATAGCTGTCCCATCATGAGTTTCTTTTTTTATAGAATTTGTGTTTTAATTTTTTTTTAAAACACTGACTTGATGTTGTGCATAATGATTATTTCCAATGAAAATTTATACCATTTTCTATTCTCTAACAAAATTTGTTTATTGTACATTTCACTGATTGAAATCATGAGTCGAAACGGACGAAACGGCTGTCCAGTACTTCTAGGTTTTCCATGGTGGTCTAACTTCAATTGACTCATTTGATTTCAATTAGTGAAATTTCTAAAATCTCCACAAACCCCATTCTGATAATTATTTGATATTGATTGCCTATTTTTTTTTGCTTTGTTTGTTTATACAGCGTTTAATATCTCGTACTAAACGTTTTATGTCCGATGATGAAAAAACAATTGCTCGTGCTAAACGATTCGGTTTACCAATTAGTAATACTGTAAATACTGCATGTTCAAATGATGCTTTAAAATTGGATGAATTAGAAAAATTAAAAAAACGTGCTGAACGATTTGGTGTTACTACTAGTAAAACATTAGAAAAGGTTAGTGTATTAATGAATCTATTCTATTGATAAGTTTTGCAAATTGAACGCTATATTCGTTTCCTAAACTATTCTGTAACCCTTAAGCTATACAGCGACCTGAACAACGAGAGAGAAGACGCAAAGTATGCGAGAAGTACTTTACTCCAAGGTTCATTTCAATACAGAAAATACAGGGTTTTTATAATAATTTAAATGTCCTCGGGTTGCTAGAAGATTCTGAAATGCTACTGAACATATTCTCAGTATAGCAGCCAGCCAATCAGAACCTCTGCAAGTGAAGTTTCGCCCCCTTGATATTTCTGGCTAAAACTTTAAGTGAACGCTGATTGAATGAAACGCTTCTTAGTGTTTCCTGATCTTTGCTTGTCTTTTGAGAGAAATTTTCTGGATCACTCAAACATCTATAATATATGTATTACAATATTAAAAATGAATTGATTCTATTGAATTTTATGTCAATGATAGATTCGTCTATTGAATTATTACTTCATAGTTCCAACTTCAATATCGATTAATTATATCCTCTTTCTCCTTATTCGCTTATTACAATGTGAATTCATTCATTTATCTATTGATTAGGTGATTATTAACTAAAGAATTTTACCAAACTGAATAATTGTCACTGAACAGAAAATCATAATGAATAAATACCCTTGTACGGCCAAGAGTGAGGAGAGTTAGCTTTCCCTCTCGAAATGCTGTCACATGGCCACGCGTATACAGTCACTCCAAGGGAATTCCTACTCACTGCCTTCTCGCACCACATGTGTTGTTTACGAAGTTGAGAGCACGAAAAGCGAATGTGCAGCGATCTCACTGGGGTGGTGGATATGCGGGATTCACCTATGGGAGTTAGAAAACCTAGATTTCAAACCAATGGTGCACATGGGCTCGGGGATCCTGAAGGAACAAATGGTTTATGAACCCATTGTTGGTAACCGGCTACCATGAGACTGCATCTCCTTACGATGCTCCACTGCCTTGTGGATCAGACCTTTAGGTCAAAGGCTCCGTCTGTGATTGATCGGTTATATACCTAAAACAATTATATGTCTACGTTTACTACAAGAATTTATTCTAACTAAAAAATCATTGGTGTAGAGTATTGTGGTTGAAAGAGAAGCAAATTTTATTTATTGAATATTAGGAATTATCATCTCCTTGGCTTATTGCTAAAAAATTTTAAAATAGGCTGAATATTCCTTCTACACTGAGTGGACAATAGTGAGGTTAGACCCGGATCATTAGGTAGAAATGGCAAATCGTTTAATGCGGGAGTGAGCTTTCATCGACTAAGATGTCTGGAACATGTGTTATGCATGCTCAACCACCATCTCAACACAGTGTTTGGTGAAATTGCAGTAGGTTGGAAAATTTTTAGAAGCGGCCAAATCAAGACATGGGATCAATCATTGAAGTCATTGATTGTTATTTTGATCCATGTTAGATCCAGACTGCCTGACTGTGGGTGTTATGTGACACGGCTCATAGTCGGTCTCATTAGGTTATATGCATTTACTCTTTGCCTTCTTCTAGAACACTTAATACTCTGGCATTTGTTCTAGTAATTAGACTGACTTGCACATTGTCAATGTAAACAGAGACACTCATGTGTCAAGTTCTACGTCGCTTATGACTAACTGACTGATTCCTATAAATTAACCAGTCAACAATGAATGCGCTGTTCAAGTCACATACTCGTTTCTCTCTGTTCGATTTCTTTTTCTGCTTGGGTTGTTGAATTTCTCGTGGAAATCATGAAATTCCATGTTAATTTTCATCACTTATTATCAACTGAAGGATGAATTGAAAACCAGCTAGTATAGTTTCGAAAATTTCAAAAATGATTACACGCAATCAAGTATTATTTCCAAACTAACTGATACCGATCCATAATATTGGTCACAAGTGCATAAACAGTTGAGATTTTTACATCATGATTAGTAAGGGTCTGAATAGTCCTGCTGTTGATATTTAGGACTGCATTTTTAATCAGTCTCGTGCAGATTGCTTCAATCCGGCTAGATTATACAAATTTTATAGAGTTGAGGCAGTTCGTACAGGGTCCACTTATACCAGCTGGGACTAGTCGGAAATCCAGCCTTAAATTTTAGCAACGGGATGATTAGAACCCTTACTGATAGTGATATAAACACCATATCTGTCGGACGAGTTAGTGGCCATATGGTCTCAGTAGCCCATTGTATATCGCGTTGGCATTTGGAATGAAAAGTGCTAGGTCCGAGTTTTGATGTAAACATTAACAAAAGTGTGAATGTACCACTCCTAACTGGCTAGTCTCAAATAAGACTAAAAAAAGTTACACATGTACCGAAAGTAGTGACTCTTAATTTGAATTGCATAGGTTTGTAGTGATTGGAAAAGTCTGATGTAATTTAATTTGATGAACCACCCGATTGTTATAATGCTACCAACACAGAAATTTGAAGTTTTTTTGTTGTCAAACTTTGTAGTTAACCGATTTGGAGCGTAAAGCTAAACGTTTGGAGAAATTCGGTAAACCTCTGTCATCAGTGAATACACAGATTAATGATGAATTAGCAAAGTCTATTCGTGCACAAAAATTTGGCCTGGTTTTATCCAGTAACAACAGTATGTCGGATGCTGAAAAATTATCTAAACGTCAAGCACGATTTGGTTTAGTTGATAATAAAATTTAACACTGCATGAATTAGTTTGTAAAGTTTTTATATTTTTTCCAAATATGATTTATCATTATACACATATTTTTGTATAGTTATTCTTTATTCATTACAAGATTGATAATCACATTTCACATTTATTAGTAATTAATTAGTATGGAATCCGTACAACAACTTATAATTCAACAATTCAGTAATGTGCAATCATGGAACTGAACGACGAGATTGATTTGGATGTATTAAAGACCTACATGAACAACGATTTACAAACATCGAGTTTCGAGGTGTCTATACTTTGGTTACACCAAAAACAAAGTGATTTCAATGTTAGACCTTCAAAAGTAGATCAACGTTTTAAAAATAAAAATTATTTACGCCTGTTACCCCTAACGGAGCATAGGACGTTGAACAGCATTGTCCAACCCAGTCCTCTGTGCCTTCCTTTCTAGCTCAATCAAATTGTTCTCTCCGTTACTTGGCGTGATGTGTGCTTTGGTCTTCCTCTTCTTATTTGGCCTTGAAGATTCTATGTGAGGGCTTTCCTTGTGATGCAGTTGGGTGCTTTCCTTAATCTGTGTCCTATCCACTTCCAGCGCTTCTTCCTGATTTATTCCTCCACTGGGATCTGGTTTGTTCTATCCCACAGTAGGTTGTCGCTGATAGTGTCTTGCCAACGGATCCGGAGTGTTTTGTGTAAATAACTGTTAATAAACTCTTGTATGTTCTGGATGATGGCTTTCGTATTTCTCCAGGTTTCTGCCCCATACAGTAGAAGTGTCTTGACATTTGTATTGAAAATTCTGACTTTGGTGTTGGCTGACAGACAGTTGTTTTGAGTTCCAGATGTTCTTTCGTTGTAGATATGCTGCTCTTGTGTATGTTGGAACCTGCTGTTGTTACACTGTTAGTCTCCGGCATTTGTTGTTATGTGTGTGTTGGAAGAGCCAGATCATCTGTGAAGTTTGAATCGTTCAGCTGCGTCCTAGCTGCTAACTGTCGCGCTTCCCCCCAGGTGTTGACGTCTTCATGATCCAGTCGATCACCAGGAGAAAGTGAAAAGGTGAGAAAATAGAACTAGAAGTACAAATTTGGTTCATCCTGTTAGGGGTGTGCACTCGCCATCATAGGGCTTTAAATATGTATGGCACAGCACGCAAGAATGACTCGTATTGTGATAGTAAAGATTTAAATTGGTAAAGAGATCCAACTGGTAGTGTTCCTAATCTCATACTGGTAGGGTTGCTTCTTTTCATCTAATCTGTGGTTTCGCAGTTCTACTTTAGTAGTGCTGGTTACACCAATCGCCGAATGACGCTCAGTGGATTGTTACGCGCATCACTATGGGGTCACCATAAAAGTAAACGGACGATAGGCTATTATAAGCTCTAGTTTCTACGTCGTGGGAATAGACATTCCCGGGTTCGGATCACAAGTGTGCGATAACTAGTAGTATCCGCTCATATACTTAGTTCCTGTCTAAGTTGGGTTGCATTTGTACATTCGGGGTGACCCTCGATTTCAAGAAAACTTGAATACATTTAAGTTCAACTATGTGAAAAACTAGGTATCGATAATGGAAAGTGTGTTGACAGCAACAGTATAGGCGCAAGTGAGTTATCCAGTCTATAGACGTACCCTACACTGACTTCAGCAAAGCTTTTGATAAGGTTTCTCACAACTGGCTGTAATATAAGTCAAGTAATATTGGGATTGGAGGTAATTTACTAATGTCGATAAAAAAATTCCTAGTGGGGCGCCAACAAAGAGTACGTATGAACTCAACTATGTTTAACTAGGAAATTATGCTTAGCGAAGTGCCTCAGGGTACAGTTTTGGGACTAGTGTTATTCTGTTTGTATGTATATGACCATCCTAGTCTGACATCATAGGTTTTGCTATATGTTGACGACGTCAAGATATGGAGAGTGACAATTTAGAGCTACAGAATAACCTGCGGAAATTATCTGACTCGTTTAAAGTTTCTCAGTCGACGATTAATACTTCCAAGTGTATTGTAATGCATATTGGTCATCAAGGTACAGATACATACACGTTGAACAAAAGTAAGCTGCCTTTTATCCAGACACACGATGACTTGGAGGTCATCGTTAGCCGAGACTTCAAGCTACTTCACATTGTCGTGCGACAGCCGCCAAAGATTTTAGGACTCTGTGATAAATAGGTAGGGTCTTAAGCCATGTTTATGCCGAAACGTTTTTACTCTGTATACTATATTCCTTCGTCCTAAACCCGAGTACTGCATACAAGCGGCTAGCCCCTGTCTAAGAAGAGACAGTGAACTCTTGGAAAAGCTTCAGAGAACCGCAACTAAGCTGTTTCACAGAACAGGACAGCTCCGGTGTGATGCTCAACTGGCTAACCAAATCTATTTCCATTGTCATGTAGAAGAATCAGAGGAGACTTGATCACAGTACCGGAATTACTTAATGAATAACTCGCCTCTTATACGTCTTTTTTATTATCTTCCAAAACAGAGAATTTGCTAGGACACTAAAAATGTTCACATGCTCAGAACAAAACACTCGTCATCTCACTGTCAACTTTCCTACTGGATAATCAACGAATGGAATTCACAACCAAATCAAGCGACTGAAGCTCCATCTGTCGACGCTCTCATGAGGAAGTTGGATCAACTGAAAGACCACTATTGCCAGGACCAACGCACACCACCTGACAACCTGTCTTTTCCAAACTGAACCTATGTTTAACTAAAATCAAAGTTACAGAATGGTTCAGTATATGGTTATCAACATTTAACTATCTGGTGGTAAAAGCTATCATAGTTCTTTTAAATAGTTATCTGACCCAATCATGTAGGGAATATTTTTATTGGTTCTCAGGTATCAAACTCTATTAATTTGTAGTGACTCAAATTTATCACGAGAACACGACTGGTTCAATAAAAACAATTATTATTATAACCAACTGTACCAGTGTTTGTTTTAATGTGCTTTTGTTTGACTGTGCTAATGACAGCTATTTTGTGCTTCCATTCTTTTACTTACACTTCGCGCGAATTCGGTTACGTTCTGTAACCAAGCTTGTATCCTGGCACGATCTCGGTATCCTTTCGATGCCACGAGATCGCCAGCAAATATAACTCGATGTGGTCCATTAATTGTCTTCTGATATTTGACTTCTCGGAGATTTTATGGATTTATTTAGTTACGTTCAACCCTCGCCTTCTGATTTATTTGGCGCGTGTTTCTTGGTAGCGGTGTTCATAGTTAATCTCAACTCGACGCCACGCTGCAAACTATTACTTTTATTGTTCAACACGTTACATTTTTCTAGAGAAAAATTTGAATGTATAGCCCAAACTATATCGTTTGAGGTATCTTGGGCTCTTGATATGATTTGCTTTCTTTCTCAAGTTAGAATTATTGAAGTTGAAAACAGAATTTTTACTTCGATATAATTAAATTCAAGTCACTCTATATGCTATACAAAAGAACGTGGTCTGGTCTAATCGAATAAACTAGGTCCTTCAGTTCAGGTTCTTCAGATCGAATATTGATGTTATGGTCGTCACATCGCCAGTAGCACAGCTTATTAAGCATGTACAACAAACAGAAGATAATTATCTTGCATGCTCATAGATCTTTAAAACCAACAACTCAACGCTCCAACTAGATTTATATGACATCTTGAACCGCTGTGATGCAGAAATACCTAGATATCTATACGGGTCTATGTTAGGTCGGGACTGCACGTGGTTCCGATAAGTTTGATCAGTGATGAAATATTGTACCACTATAATTAATAAAATCGAACCACGGATCATCTTTGAAAAGTACCGCATCGTTTACTACCATTATGCTCAATTCATCAAATACAGGCTCGACCAACACGTGATTACAGCAGTCGCGACCCAAACTCATACAACAAAGAAATTACAGGATGATACCAATACCTTATTGTCCGTTAGCAATAAGGAGCAGTGGGTGGGTTTTGGGAGGAGGAATGGCAACATCATAACTCCCGAAACTTTAAAAATGGGAGGCAAAGAACTTTCCCAAAACTTCCTGATTATAATAACTGTTCTAGCTTACCAGAAAGTAGGCCAACCTGTAATGAAGAACAATGGGACAAATGCCGTGATATTCTCGGAAAGGGTACCACTTCAGGAAAAGTATGCCACCTGTATTAAGGTCGAAAGTCAGAAAAGGGTAAATCCGCTCCATTAAGGGAAACGGAAAATCCAGCACACTTCGCAGAAAAATCAACGGCTTTCCAGGGACCGTAGATTAAACGAGTTAGGCACTACTAAAATATCGGCAAGCACAATCCGACTAGTATGGTGTCCCACCAAGTGTCTGAGCTGGTTGGTGGTAGCCAGGACGAGGCTGACGTGAGCAAAACTCGGAGTCGCCGTTGATTATATGTTGCCTAGTTCTTCACATAACTATGGCAATTAGCATGTTGAAGCTACTTGGCCCATTACATCTAACAACCACTAAGTCCCTGCGTCTGATGGCTGTAAACTTCAGAAACCCAGGGAAATTAACAGAGACACAGTCCAAAAACTGACCTTTCCAATCATATCAGATGTTGTCAGAGCCAACCTAGATCGGCAGGGTTGAGAACAGCATATAAACAAAACAAAACACGATGAATACATTCACTACACAGTCGTTCCATAAGCAACTTGCCACAGCAATTAGAAGTTCGTGACTTGGTGAACATGTGTATGATGCAACAAGTTGGCATAATGGTGGAAAATCCCCATACTTGGATTATTTGGTCATAAGAGATAATCTTCTTTTGGAATAAGCGTATGTCTACATACCAGTAGGAAGTAGCGACCATAGTACAGTGAAGTTAGGCGTGTTTACAAACGAGATACATAGTTTGAAAAAGGACGCTTACTACTTTAGGAAGATTAAGACAGACTAGACGATAATGACGCAGTATCTTCAAGCCGCCTCATATTCACGAGAGTGGTGGAGGCTAACAATGGATAACCACTGGGAGATAGTAGTGGACATTATTCCGGATTATATCTCAGACGATCTTCTTCAGGCAAAGCGCATATCTGAAAAGAGAAGATCCCAGGTTGCCTCGAACACAGTGCTCGTATAGCGGGCAAAAAAGAATAGCCTGGGATAAGCGGAAATTCTTCCTGAAGGATTCTGTCTCTATTACTAATCAATTAACCCATCTGTTATTCTTGAAGCAATAACCTTCTATAATTTCCACACTTATTCTTTTTTTACATTGAAACTAACCAGCCTTCTGAGTCGTAATATGGTAGCCCTTATTATTCAGAAACCCTACTGTCCTGAGATAAACTTACTCAATCTACAAAATGTGCAAATCCATATATAACTGTCAAGCTGGCTAGAACTGGTGCAATAGAATAGCTAGATAACACTTATTGAGCACAAAAGAAAGCATGAACTGCACCATAATTACAACGAAAGACCTCAAAGAAATCGATAGGTTTGTGCATGCCCGTGTTAAACATTGGGTACTGCAAACGAACTTGTGTGTTTCAAATCATGACCTTGAGAGTTAACAGTTGAGGCAGGCTGTTAATTGTCGAACACTTAATACTGCGACAGCAAGTAGTTAGACACTAGAAAATGTTTAATTGATGTGCATTGTTAATATGTCATTTAATGATATTCATAATAATAGTGTTATTAATAATAACGGCAATTAAATTGATAGTTCATCGAAAAATGTAAATACATGTATAAATCGTGTAAACAATTAGTGATAAACTGAACGAGTCCAACGAAGTTGAATATCGTTACACCATTAACAATAAACCTCATACGAAACGCGTACACATGTAGAGAAAAACATAACGAATTTATCAATATCAGTAGTACACACGAAATGTGTTTTTTAAGAAAAAAAATGCTTGCAAAAAAATGTTATTAGTAATTCTGCTAATATAGATTGTTAGTCACATTATAGAAAATGACAGAATAAAGATTAAGTAATGAATTCAACATAACGTTTGGGAAAATGTACGTGTCTTCCTGAACGAGTTGTTTTTGTAGAAGGTAAAGTAGCGGAACTAGGAGCTAAATTTGTGGGAGCTGTAACTTTAGAATCGTCTGTTTTACGAAGTATTGATTTCGTAGAAGTAGGTGAAGAATTATTTGAAAACACTGGAAGCTACGTTGTGCGACTGCTGCTGTCTTTAGGCAGCTTTCGTCTGTCATGTGTTTCGGTCTCAACAAAAGCAGGTTTTATCCTGTCAGTTGAAACTATTTCTTCCTTTTCCTTCTTTTTTTATTGTAATCTTTCGATGTACCGCGGAGCGTTGGGTCGAGTTTTCACTATAATCCGTTTTCATCATCTTGGGAAGTGTCGGTAAAATGCTGGCGAATATATCATTTACTTGGGTGTCAACTTTAATACTATGTATGTGATGGTCCGACTGAGTTCCCTTTACTTGAAGCTTCGTGCAGGAATTGACAAGTTTTCTTCTTTTAACGTCAACTATTAAGTTGTAGAAGCTTAGAAAATCTGCACCTAATATAGGGTGGCGGACATTAGCAATAATGAACACCCAGGTTAAATGTCGTTTAATCCCCAAGTTTGGTATCATGAGTTGTTCGCCAAATGTCCTTATTTTGGTTTTATTAGCTGCCTGTAGAGTAAATTTTTCACTCTTTTCAATGGGTTTTTTGGCTAAGGTAAGTGGGACGGACACTGACTCGTCTCACTTACCTTTCTATATACGCCGTTGGTGCAATCACTTGCAGAGGAATCTTCATCAATCAAGTGAACTCATATGTGGTTGTTATTTTCACGAGGTAGCTTACAAGTAACATTCATTCTATAATAACTGTTATTATCTGTTTGTTTAATATACCATTTGTGTCCTAACTGTATTTTGTTACCCTTGGTTTTACTTACAGACAGACACCAAAGGGTTTTTACTGTTAACTCTCTTGGTATATCATTATTAGTAACCTTGTGTATTGATATATCTTGTATAAGATCCTTTTGCTGGGAACCACCACACGGCGAATATTCGCCGTTCCTTTCCAAAGAAACAATCTTTACCACGATAATGCCTAATTTATTGTTTAAGGGTGAAAACCTTAGGAATTGGCATGTCATATTATAGAAACAGGGGTAACAGTTCTATCGTCTAGTCAAATATCCATTCTCACTGGCGTGTCTAAACCTTGCTACGAGAATCATGATGGTGGGGTAAATTATGTGACGCCATGCAATAACTGACTTTATTTATCTCAACAAACTGCATACAACCCACGTGGACTTTTGCATACGTCTGCCTGTTGGTTTTTTAGCATTACATGCTACCTTGCTTAGTCGTTACATAATTTAAAAATTATTATGTTACTATAAAGTTTAGGAATCTATCATAAAATACTGTAAGGCTTACTAGTTGAAACGTTATGGAAAAAGAACATCTGAGGTTTCATGAGTCCCTTGTTTAGTTGGGGGATTGTGTGATCTCTCATCTGTCGAAGCCAATTAAAATATATCATCTATGGGTAGTGCTATTAAGGACCTTGAACAGATCTTATACAGACTATATAAAAGATTGACTTCTTAAACTCAACGGATAAACCTCTTCAACTCAAACTTAAATATAGTTCGTAAGAGTTGTATTTAGTGTAATACCAGATTTGTCTTACTAAAAAACAGTTAAGATCACGCTATCCATATGTATATTTCAAATTAATTTCCATTACGACAGTCTGTCTGTTCAAATTCCGTCGGGGATATATCTTACAAGATTAAATAGCGTGGGTGTAGCTCTATATATTTGCTAACATCAACGAACTATGTAAGCCATGAAATTCGTCCTCTTATTTGTGGTAAAATATCACCGTAAATTATGCATTGGGTTCACAATGTGTAATTCAGTAACAATAAAAAATTTTAAACTTCTTGAATACTACTGCGTTAAGCAATAATATTCAGAAGTACTTTTATGTAACTAAACACCACCTTTGATTCATTACGTCCTATGTGGGATGACTCATCTCATTTCACCTCAATATGGATAAGATACCTTTAGCGACCAAAGCCAATTCTAGCACACATTCAATTTGCTAGTGGCTACAACCGTTCATGTCAAGACTCTTTATAATACACAAAAAACGCATCAGATTATACCCTTCAATGTCTAACGTGGCACTTATTCGTATTCTATGAATCACGAAATAGAGCAGTGTGTTAGTAATTAAACTAATCAAATTTTAATCACTGAGTTGCCTATTTGATCTCTATTTCCCTGACTCTGATTTATCGCTGTGACTTGTATCACTAGCTCACCACCAAAATTATGGGTTGTGGTCGAAACTAAATACTTTTAGTTGGTTACATTTCTAACTCATTAGATTAAGTCAGAGGAGTAGAAGTCAGTGCTCGTGAAGATTATGTAGAATGCATTGAAATCAACCATGTTAATCTTATTATGTTCACCTCATATATTTTCACAAAATGTTAACATTAACATTTTATGTATTTCAAAGAGTTTTGGATTTCCAGATTTTAGACCAGATGAAGAAAGTAGACAAAAATGAATCAAAGCCAAAGGTTTCAGAATATTTGCCAAGATGTGGTGTTACTGTTGATTTATATTATCCAGAACAAATGTCAATAGATCAACTACTAGAAATATTTGAACGTCGAGGTTTCAAATCTCTAGTGAGTGAATTGCTGTGTAATAAATTTCCGTGTTTGGATTTTAAGCACTCATTCACAACTACCATAGAATATTCAAGCTTTCATTAGGTTTCATAAACCTAATGTAGAGGACGACTGAAACCTGCGACAAAGTACTTAAAAGCTTGGTGCTTATTATCAGTATATCACAGAGAAAGTGTCAAAGGCAAATGAATCCCATGTATTTGAATGGGTAGCTCGTGAATTTTTTTCAAAACTAATCCACCATATACATATCTTAGTACTTTTCTTCAAGTCACGTTAATTGTGAAGACTGGTGTTGTTACCCTGTCCTGTAAACTGGTGTAGATAGAGCGGGGTTCAGACCTCCAACTTAGTGGCTGAAAGTCGAACATCACTGTTCATGAATTAGAGCCGGATCAACTCCTTGTCTAGCTTTTGCTATCGCTGCCCATCAGTTTAAGTAGTGATTATTATCGCATATGCCCAAATTTACGGTCGCTAAGAATTAATATTAATAAAGCCAACTATTTTGTTTCCTGATATCAAAATAAGTATTAAATGATACCCATTTTAAGACTAAAGTCTTAAATTTAAGAAGTGTGAAAAATCAAATATGTTCAAAATCATTTCAAAAATATTGGGATCCTAGTCTCTTAGGATTATCTTTTACGCATTAAGTGCCTCCGGTTTCACACGTTAATGGTAAGTTTTTGATTAGTCTACAATGTAGTTCTATATAAATTGTGAGGCGTTATTTCCTAGAAGACAATTATCACTATCAGGTTACTTGGTAACAATCTTGAAAGCTTTATAAAACTGCATTGGTTTATATAATGCTCTTCTAGTAATTATTTGTCACTTTCTTCAAGTCCTCACAAGGAATTTAGGTATTTAGGATCTATAACTGGTTTATAGCATTATAATTTTACTTACATTATTTTTATTTATTTATTTATTCGAACACATAGGGCACCAAATACATATGTGTCACACAAATCTCATTTGATTTGTGTGAGGGGTGATAGTGCCCGGGTGACCAAACCGAATCAGGTGATTTTCTTAGGGGACCACACCCAGAGGTTTCGACCCAAAGGTCTGATCCACAGGGCAGTGGAACAACGTTAGGAGATGCAGTCTCATGGTAGCAGGTGACCAACGATTGGTTCATACGTTATTTGTTCCCTCAGGGTACTGGTGCCCATGTGCACCATTGGTTTGGAATGAAGGTTTTCCAACTCCCTTAGGTGAATCTCCCCATACCCACCACTCCAGTGAGGGCGCTAGACATTCGTTTTTCGTCGTCTCAATTTCGTAAACAACACCAGTGGTGCGAGAAGGCAATGAGTAGAACTTCCATTGGAGTGGCTGTGTATTCGTGGCTATGTGAGAGCACTTCGAGAGGGAGAGTGGACTCTCCCCACTCTCGGCTGTACTTACATTATACATTATAGTCTCAGAGATGAAATAATTGATGCTTTTGAACTGGTGTATATATAATCCCTATGGTTTTCTAAAACTTCAACTAATTTCTAAATGACTATGATTGGAATGTTTCTAAATTATAATGAAACTAGAACTCATTATTTTAACTTCTAATTATTTGATATGAATTATTTAACTTATTCTGTCTTTTATTTTGACGACTCTATATGGTATATAACCTAGAATTGTAACAACATGAACTTTATCCGATCGTCAGTCAGTTTGGAAGAAAAAAAACCCGTGTGTGTGTGCATGTTATATCCAGTCTTATTACTTATCAATAATATTATTAATAATATATCTTGGAAGTCTGATCAGCCCTAATGGGTTGGTATCGGACGAAATCTCAGCACGGATTGGAAAAGCTCAATTGGCTTTTGCCAACTTGCGTCACCTATGGCGAAGGCGAGATATCCGTCTATCAATAATAGGACGAGTATACTGCGCGGCAGTTCGTTCTGTTTTACTTTACGGCAGCGAAACATGGCCATTGACAGTAGAAGACACTCGTAAGCTATTAGTATTTGACCACATGTCTTAGAAATATTGTTCGTATCTCCTGGGATCACCGGGTAAGTAATAGTGAGGTTAGACACAGGGTATTAGGGAATGATGGTAAATCAGTTGATGAGGTTGTGAATCTTCATCGACTGAGATGGTTGGGCCACGTGTTACGTATGCCTGAGCACCGATTACCACGACGTTCAATGCTATCCGGTATTGGAAATGGTTGGAAGAGAGTTAGGGGCGGTCAAACCAAAACGTGGCATCATTGCTTGAAGTCACTAACTTCTAGTCTTAGCCATGTTGGTAGATGCAGACTACTTGGTTGGGGTCCGCGTGACTATCGTAGCCAATGGTTGGAGACTCTTGTTGACATGGCTCAGAATCGATCACAATGGCGTCGGTGTATACACTCTTTGTCTTCCCTTAAACTAAGAGATTAAAATCACTTCATATCTTTCTTTCTACTAACTAATTCTTCCTTCCTATACTATATCCTTATTACAACCTTTGACCTAACCACTCCTAGTAATCCGGTGTTCATCTTGTTGTGCTAATGAGGTATGGCAACCTGGACCGATGCACATATGTGCCTGGTCCTACGTTGTAGCTAACTGACTGACTGATTGTACTTTGTTTGATTAGTAATTCCAAATTTCTCTATTTAACTAATTCCTTTTTTTATTTGAAAAAGTAGGTATCCAATGTAAATACATTAGAACATATTGTAAATCTTTATTATGATCATCTTATGCCAAAATGTCATCGAAATGAATGGATTGATGAATTCATTGAATCTACAACTATCCATCCTTCTATTGATGATGATGACGGTGATGATAATAATAATAATAATAATAAGAGTAATTTATCAAAAGAAAAAGTGAACTTAAATGATAACATCACTAAACCTAAACGAATTATAGATCATCATTTAGATCATTTAATTATTACTTATGATGAAAAACGATTTACTCCTCCTTGTTCTATTCAAACTTTATCATCAAAAGAACATCATCAGTTCATGTGTAAAACATCGAATAGTTTACATCAAGATAATGATCATCATAGTATACTATCATCTTCTCATTCAATCAATGAGAACTCTTCAAATAATTCTAAATTCAATGATCATTCATTGAAATCAATGAAAAAACGACCTAAAATTAATCGTAATTTTGAAAGCCTTACAAATAATATTTAACTATTTGTATATGTAAATGATATTGTACTATCTTATCCTATTAAATTTATTCTATCTTTTACAATGAATGGATTGTTTTGTTTTGTTTTGTTTTAAAAGAGAGTAAACTGAAAAAGAAGAGTAACACATATGTTTGCTGAAGACGCTGATAAAATGCAGAGTCTTTTGGTAGCATTAAGCAACAATGCCAAAATGTTTGGAATGTGTTTCTCTTCCTCTAAATGCAAGTTGTTGCTTTAGGAGTGGTCTGCGTCAACATCTGAACTAAGGATAAGAAGTGAAGTAGTCGAACCCGTTGACAACTTCACTTATCTTAGAAGTCTGATCAGCCCTAGTGGATTGGTGTCTGACGAAATGTCAGCATGGATTTGAAAAGCTCGTTTGACTATTGCCAACTTACGTCACCTATGGCTAAGGCGAAATATCCATCTTTCAATTAAGGGACGAGTATACTGTGAGGCAGTTCGTTCTATTCTAATATACGACTGCGAAACATGGCCATTGACAGTAGAAGACACTCGTAAGTTACTAGTATTTGACCACAAATGCCTTAAAAATATTTCTGGCATGTGCTGGGATCACTGGGTAAGTAATAGTGAGGTTAGACGTAGGGTATCAGGGAATGATGGTAAATCAGTTGATGAGGTTGTGAATTTCCATCGACTGAGATGGTTGGGTCACGTGTTACATATGCCCGAACACCGATTACCACGACGCGCAATGCTGACTAGTGTTGGAAATGGTTGGAGGAGAGTTAGGGGCGGCCAAACCAAAACGTGGCATAATTGCTCGAAGTCACTAACTTCTAGTCTGAGCCATGTTGGTAGATGCAGACTACTTGGTTGGGGTCCGCGTGACTTTTGTGACCAATGTTTGGAGACTCTAGGTGGCATGGCTCAGAATCAATCACAATGGCGTCGGTGTATACACTGTCTTCCCCTAAACTATGAGATTAAAATCGCTTCAAATCTTTCATTCTACGAACTTATTCTTTCTTGTTGTACTATATCCTTATATGCAATCTTTCTTTTATATATTACCACCAGTGAATTAACTACTTTTACGAATCCGGTGTTCATCTTGCTGTGCTAATGCGGTATGACAACCTGGACCGATGAATATATGTGCCTAGTCCTACGTTGTAGCTGACTGAACACATATGTAAATATATACTTGAGGAATTCTTCCTGTGGCTCTTCTACAATTAGTACCGGTTTCAAACTTGGGTAAACCGGTAGGGTTGGATATGGGAGAGGGGTTTAGCGACCTCATCTCGTAGAAAAATAACTCGTTAAAAAAGCAAAACGCTAACCAGGAAAGTAATACTTGAAGTGTAGTGAACAAGAACACTAGTGGGGATAATCGAATGTATTTGAGCATCTTAATAATATCTGAGAACCATATAGTAAATAGTTATATACTGCCGTTATATACTACCACAGAAGGATAAAGGAAATTGAATATATACAAGTTACTTACAATTATATCTGAGTAAATAGTGACCGAACAATTTGTCTTGGTTACTTCTAAATACAGTGAATAACTGACGGTTAGTTTAGAAGTTACAACATCTGAATTTCAAACATTACATCATAGGTTTGAACTTCACCTTATTTGTAATAATTTACACAGTTGGTTAGTATCACTAGTCTTCAAACGACAGAAAAAAAGTCTGTTGCTTAAAGCTGCTTATGTAATTCATGAGTTACATTAGCGAATTGATCATTACGTAGAAATCCTGATTGTTTCAGCGATCATATTGAATGATTCATTTGAATATCGTAACAAGGTTTAAAGGGTTAATTTCTTAATACCTTTAATATTCTGGTTCGAAACTATAATAATAGAATGATCTAGTGTTGCTGTTATATTCCGAAAGCTTATACCTTAGTGATTTGTGAAATGAAACTGTCTACATTCTTCTGCATAATGTTTTAAGGGGATTATTCTACACTTTATTAGTAGTAGTATATGTACAGTGTTGAAGTGATCTTTTGAAACCAGTGTTTACGGATATTTTAACCAGAACCATCGAGTAAACAATGCTTAAGTTAGGAATGAGATGGTAGATCTTCATTAGCTGAGGTGGTTGGGATATGTGTTACATATGCTCAACCACCTGTTACCTTATTGGGGGCGATGTCGACTAGTGTAGGGTTTGATTGGAAGGATGATAGGGGTGGCCAAATCGAAACATAGGATCAATCCTTCAGGTCAATAACACATGGACTTAGCCATGTTAACAGGTGTAGACTACCTGGTTGAGGTCTGTATGATCATCATAACTAATGATTAGAGACTTTGAATGACATGTGTCAAAATCGTTTAGAATTGCACCGGTGCAAGTTTCTGAATTGCTCATAATTAGGTTTTAATTTACGGATTTGTGTTTTTCTCGAATCATATATTCGATGCCTAATCTTTTATATTACCACTTAGACTGCTACTACCATAGTGGCTTTGCTTCGTTAATCGATAACCGTTATATTAAAAATCTTAACGGTGTTTACAATCAGAAGGCAATAAGAAGAGGCAACTACAGTTTATTAACGGATAGCGCAGATCACAAAGCTATAAGCAAATAGAGCCCATTTGGAGGGGACAGGCGAATACGTATATGCGAGTAATTACATAGGCAAATTTATAGTTAACTTGCATAAGGGCGCAATTAGGTAAAGGCTAATAATAAGACTTGAGATCATATATACATGAGGAAGAGAATGAATTACGGAGTGATATTTAAGCATTCAACACTTAAGCTCGAGTTTATCATGTGATCTAATGATCATAACGGTACAAAGACATATATGTGAATTGTTACTATTCAAATGACATTGTCTGTTAAGTAAGTTAATAAAAGGTCTTAACTAAAATTAGCCATAATCGAAATTGGTTGTAAGATAGTTGCTATACCACTACTTCCACTATTCTAGGATTTTATATCTCAGTGCTGATGGTGTATAGCATTATGAACGGACGTGCAATGGCGCAGGTGCATTCACTCTTTATGTTCTCCCAAATTCTAATATTCTGAATTCTTCATGTCCCTTTCTTTTTTTCTCTTTCAAAATTTATTTCACTAGATTATACTCCTTGAATAACAACTTTAAACCATAATCTTTCCGACCACTACTTATACTCTTACCACATCTATCAGTATGGGATTTGAATCGACAACTGCATCGTTGTGCTAATGTGGTATGACAACTCGAACTGATGTACGTACGTACGAACTTGTACGTTGTTACCAACTGACTGACTGACAAAGGATTTATATTGCAAAATAGGATACTACTCTACAAATCATTGGACCTGATAGTGATTACATAGAGTTATCTCTTCTCAAATGTATTAAAAGCATCAACAATTGAACTCGTATAAATAAAAAGTCTATCGCTGTGGTTTCATGCTATATAAGAGGTCAATTATACTGAAAAGTACATTTAAGTACTAAATCGCAAATGGAGATTGAATTATCATTTTGAACAAGTAAAACTGAATTTGAATAGTGTCTATATTAAAACACAATATTCTATTATACTGTAGTGACTCACATTTATCACGACAACACGACGGGTTTAATAAAAACGCTTATTATTATAACCAAGTGTACCAGTGACTGTTTTAATGTGCTTTTGTTTGACTGTGCTAATGACAGCTATTTTGTGCTTCCATTCTTTTACTTACACTTCGATTGTAACTTCGCGCGAATTCGGTTACTTTCTGTAACCAAGGTTGTATCCTGGCACGATCTCGGTATCCTCTCGATGCCACGAGATCGCCAACAAATAAAACTCAACTTGGTCCATTACTTGCCTTCTGGTATTTGGCTTCTCGGAGATTTTATGGATTTATTTGGTTACGTTCAACCTACGCCTTCTGATCTACTTGGCACGTGTTTCTTTGTAGCGGTGTTCGTAGGTAACCTCAACTCGACACCACGCTACAACACTATCATTCACTTGGTATTGTTGTTGATGTTTAGCACTACAATTGATTAGTCTCTTATAGGCATACTGAGTCCTAAGTGGATGATGCTTGAAGCGAACAGTACTGCGTTCAAGTTCTAGAGTGAACATCAACTCTGAGATGCAGGCACATCCAGCTGACGAGTCCAAAATAGGACAAAACTCGCTTCAAACTGGATTTCACTGCTAGCCACTATCCATCCTTGCTTAAAACAATGTATTATTCTAGTGTACAGGTATATTGGTTGCTATAACGATTATAGTACATTTGTTTTATTCTACTTTGTGAACAAATATTGAACTTTCACAAATTATGTGTAGGGAAATGTATGTAAGTGTTATTATACACACGAATGGATGAATTAAATATTTAGATTTATACTTATATTTGTTTAGGGTTAGTTCCTTTGGATATATGTACTACTAATGATTAACATATATAACCTGGATGTATGAGAAACTAAGAAGTAACAATGTCGAAAGAAAGATTCTCTTTACTGAGCTGTCGACTACTATCTCTGAATAGATCGATTATTCTAGTCAGTAAAATTACTACCGATGTCGAAAGCTATTATTTGTAGCTTCGTTGCATATATCCCTGAATACGTCTTTAAATGTTTGAGAATTATACATTCTCGGTATTTGTTTGCATACTTCTTCTTATTGTTTTACCTTTCGTGATGTATTTAGATTTTGACTGTCCTTTGACATCCAATTAACATAAACATATCCAATAACCAATTATTTATTTAAACACATGAATATTAAGACAAGAAGGCACCGAATACATATACGCCATATTTCATCATCCGATTTGTGTGTGGGTTGTGATACTGCTCGGATACCAAGAACGAAACTGGTGGTTTTCTTAGGGGACCACTCTTCAAGCCTTTAACTTAGAAGTCTAATCTACAAGGCAGTGGAGCAACGTCGGGAAATGCAGTCCTATGGTATTTGGTGACGAACAATAGGTTCGTCCACCATTTGCTTCTTCAGTATCCCGGAGCCCACGTGCACCGTTGATTTGGAATCAAGGTTTTCCACCTCCTCTAGGTGGATCCTTCATATCCACCAACCTGGTTGAAGCGTGGGACATTT